AAACATGTTATATCATTTTTCAAAATATTTGAAATATATTGCTTCATATTTACTGTTTTTCCTCGACTCAACATCCCGTTGCTTAATATTCCATTGAATTTATATTACCAATAATACCATATTTACAAGTTGACTATAACCTTATAACCTACCTTTCATTTTTTACTTATGTATTTAAATGAGACAGGTTTTTACAGCCTTTTTATCAATCTTATAGATCACGATCTATAATAAAAAGTCTACTCCGAAATATACTATTAAATTTTTAAAATAGTTATTCAAGTGTATTAGAATCAATACATTACAATCATTCCATATGAAATTTATCATGAAACAGTGCTTTTACAACAGCACAAAGTAAAACCCACAATTAGTGCTTAGTAAGTATTACTAAACTGTTGCACACACCATCCAACTAACATAGGACTATCAGTTGATTCCTCAATTAGAAAAATCTAACTTTCTTTCAATTCTTTCTGTAACATCACAGATATTTTAATATATGTTGAACTTGCAGTTCCCACTCAGTGACCAGTCACGCGTACCGTGATTGGTTGGCAGAAAACCCGACTCTCTTTGTGTAGTACCGTTGTGAAATAGTACGTAACCACCCCGAACGTCCCACCTCGCTCCTCTTGCTCGAATTTGCCTGTGGGTTAGATCCACCTTACGTTGTCGTAAACCTGAGTACACTAGAGACCAGCACCACACTTTACCTTCATAATCCTACTTATATGCTCTGCTAACTAATAGACAACTCCGTAAAAATTCTGCTTGTCTGCAACATTTCATACCCAAAACAATTTAATATGAATTTTAATATATTACCCGAGACCGTCTTTACACATTCAATGGGAACTACAAGTCAACTTTTTTGATCTTTCAATTATTTTTCATTTTACCTTCACTTTCCTACACACTACCTACCGATTGTAAGTCGATTACTGAAGAGAGAATAACTCCTAGTTTTCATGAATATTATTTTACTTGTCCCTGGAATTTGAAATGGGAGAACACTCGTGTATTGTCAACACGACTTTCAAACGCCTTGTAAAACTGTTTCCAATTATTTCATTTCCATTTCTTTCCTCGCGGCGCAGTATCAAATTTCCAAGCAACCGGCGCGCCGCGCCGCGCTTCCTTGTCCTTACCACGAAGAGCGCGAGAAATTCGAGAGCGCGCCGGGGCTGCTTTGTGAATGTACGCGAGTTTTGACACGGCGACGTGTTATACTAATCGACAGCAGTATCGATGTCCATGAAGTTGAGAAAGAGGTTTTGCACAAATGTTTACGTCGAAATGGAACAAGTTCCGAACTATGGCGGCAGACAGCGCTAAATTCTCATAACACCTCTTCCTCTTGATTCTCATTTGTTCAACTAGATCTACCCAACAATCACTGATCTGTATATATAAGTATACTTGTATTATTAATAATTATTATAATAATATTAAATGAATGTAACTAATATCGTATAAATGCATTGCTTGATTTATGACGCCAGAACGGCGTTCTGGTACCTCCGGAATTATTATTGAAGAATTCTATAAATATCTGATTATTTCTATTATATATATATATATATATATATATATATATATATATATATATATATATATATATACAGTAGGAAGCACATCTGAAGTCACGAGCCCCGTTGAGAAGAACGTTCGCAAATTAAAAAGATTCATTTTATAACGCAGGAGGTCTAACGATTACCTAAAGTTATCGGCCACTGTAGGAAAATCGGAGTATAGAATGCAATAAGTCGCCCACTAAATCCGACGAGCTCCGCTATAACGTAGAGTTCGATTTCGAGTTGGCGCTTGGGTAGAGACGCAAGATTGCAGTCAATCGTTATAATGTATCGTGTGCCAAAGCTCCCTTTTCGTTGTGCTTGACTGTTCGGCTCAACACTTTTGATGAGTGGCGTTTTCTCGGGTGACGAAAGAGAGCAATGACTTCACTTTATTTTCTTCTTCTGGATGTAATTAGCAAATAAAAAATTGTAACTGATGTTAGAGGGAAAATGTATGACTTGATGAGAGAGATGTGAAGTTATTTATTTTGATCGAGTTTTAAATCTCGCGCTATTATAATGTACACGAAAACGATTGGAATCAACCGGAGTCTCTTTGAGGAAGAATCTCCTCTCGGGTCTTATTCGCCTATTACTCCCAACGCTTCTGTGGTCAAAAGATGAAATGTTTTTAATGGAGGTATATCGTAGATAGAGAGGATCTCCTGCCTTGAACTGCCATTTATTGGCCTCTTTTTGAACCAGATGAACGTGACAAGAGGCGGTGAGTCATACCATACTCTGCCAGACAAGGGTCACACTTGGTCACAGCAGAGGTCAGAATAGACCAGTGTGTAAGGCTGACGGAAGACCCTGTAAAACCGGACTAATACGTTTTTTTTGTTGTCCCGCCGCACGTTATCAAATATATTTCCTAAAAAATTAATTTAATCAATTGATTAATTTTCTCCTAATAAACATGCACGAGTCGCCACAGTTCTTGAAGATGTCTGTTCACAAGATTTTTCCTAGAGTAATAAACATTATTGAATTCTTCAATACAAAGTGCTTTGTATGCGTTATCTAGTTGTTACTTTTGTTTGCCAGGTGAAATGTTCGTTCATTTATTAAAGCTATCCGTCCGGGGGAGAATTTCATAAATATCTTTGTAAATCATCTTTATAAATCTATAATAAATTTAGTAAGTAAATGAATTATTGTCTACCTACTACATCTGTCATCCGAAAGTGTGACAGAGTACAGATTTTAAAACATTTCCGTAAATACTTCTCTTCACTTCATTTCCTAAACTTCACTGCCAATGAGATTGTAGATTCAACCAATACTTAAAACTTCTATAAAATTCTGAAGTGCTGCGTAAAGTAAATCTTCAAAATTGTAATCTGTAAGTACAAATACATTAAAATCACCCTTCTGAATTAAAAGTCTAATCACACAATTACATTTTGTAACTCTAGGTTGTATTTATATAGTAAAACTTAATTCATTCAATAAGTGAATTATCAAAACTATCATTGTAATCAATAGCAAGTCAAAATCCATCATAATTTCAATAATCATTTTTTGTCTCGTTTTATGTACCCTTTGAGTGTTTGTGTGTGGGGGGGATATTTATAATCCAATAGTAGCACAAAAATTCTAGTTTATTGGTACAAAACCGTCACATTCTCTTAGCGTCGCATATACATATGGTTAGGCAATTTATTAAAAGACACGTTACCTATCCCAAAACCAAGTTCCTACTCGTCTTCCATTTCCATTAAAGAAATATTATGTCTGAACATTAAGCTTTAATTTGACAAGTTTAGTATGCCAATGACTGGCTATTGGCTCAAGAACTTCCTTATTCTGTCGCTTCTACCGGTTCGAGCCTATTTAATGGTGACATTTTTTTTCACTTGATGTCGGAAAAGCCTCTTCATTCTTCATAGAGCTTCGTCAGCCGCTACCCTTGACTCAGCGCCAGCTACCTTGTTGAAGTACGCCGAAGCGCCCCCAGCGTCGTATTGCTGATGTGCTGACGCGGCGTGCGTTATCGGTTTTCAGCAGCGTAGCAGCATTACAAGGCTCTTGAATTCGAGAAAGTGGGCAAAGGGGATATATGTTTTGCGGGTACAGATCACTGCCTTCAGTGGCACGGGTTGCATGCAGAGCATTCGAAGTTTTACTCTGTTAGGGTGAAACCTTAAAAAAAAAACACTTGATCGGGTGCTACATTCAATTCGAGAAAATGTGTGCGATGTTTCTTAGTGCGTGTGCAGGTCGCTTCTTGATACAGCGCGGACAGGGGGCGGAGACGTTTCAACGAATGTCAAGGCATTTTTGTTAGTTGAGACCTTTTTCACAGCGTGTAGTACCTTAGCGTACATCACTAGCGACCATGAACATGCGCAGCTGGAACTTAGCATGCCCAGAGGCTCAAAAGAGGTATACGATAAGTGATGAGGTGCTTCACGCTATGCAAAAAGTCACTATTCTTCTTGAACACTCGAACCTTGAAGCATCAAAATATTTCGATAATTCTAATATTATATTTTCTCCTTCATATTGCAGCTGTCGAAGTTCCAGTTCACTTCAGGTCGTCTTTAAGAAACAAATCGTGTAACAAACTGACGTGTAACCTTCAATAATAGAAACTCTGTGCATCGCAGTTGTTCGCTGCGCGTCCGCAGGTGGCACCCCTACGGGTGGACAGTGGTGCAGTGCGAGTTAGTTACATTCCATTAGAGAAAAGGTACCAGCTTATGTGGCTCAGGGCATCAACTAATGCCATTGCAATGCCTCTGACCGGGAGGTCCTAGGATTCGATACCCAACGGTGCCAAGATTTTCGACTTTAGACTACGTAGCTAGGTCGAATTTCGCCGCTTCTGCGTGAAAACTAGAGGTCGCCTGTTCCGATCAGTAGTATTTCATGGGTTTTCCATCAAATAAAACTAATAATATCACATAATATAATTTAATATCACATTAAATTCTGGAACAATGCCCTAACAAACGGGCCACTGAGCGCGTGACATCTTTTATTACTATTTCTTATCATAACCTCAACTATTTCTTACACGCACTTACCTTTACACGCAATACCCTGCCACATATGCCGTGAGATTAGAGCATGCCTCATTTGCAGCAGTGCCCTGCTGGAAAGAGGAACATGTTTTGGCGAAAACGCCACAAGTCGACTTGTAGATCGGCGTCAGATCGCGCCACCTATTGTGGGAAGATCGCCATTTTTACCACCCGCGATAAAACCAATTGCGGGACTAATGACCTTAGCAATAGACGCGCTGGAAAACACTAATCAACCCACGAATCAACGAGAAATGTGCAATGAAGTTGTCTCGTGCGCTTGAGCAGATCACTTCTTGCTGCTGCGCGGGCGGCGCGGTGAGCGGCGCGAGTGGGCTACATTCCATACGAGAAAGGGTGTGCAATGTGGTTGTTTGTTGCGCGTGCGCAGGTCACTTTCTGCTGCTGCGCGGACGGCGCGGGGAGCAGCGCGAGTGGGCGCTGATGTCGCCTTCGGTGGCAGCGACTCCTGAGCGCAACTGCCACCTGGCGGTGGATTTACACATGGCCAACATGAACGCCGGCAGCGTCAAGGCCGTGGTGGCGGCCAACAGCACGTCGTGGGTGGTGTCCGAAAGGAGCGGGAACGACAGGCGCCGCTGGGAACAGGTCAACTTCAACCTCGGCAGCATCAGCCAGGAGTTCCTCATCATCCTGGAGATCGTGACAAGCGGTGCCATGCCTTCGCATGTCGCCCTTGACAACATCGCGCTCTTAGACTGCTTCCCCAGTAAGTATATGACGCATACACCTGCCCGATGCTCGGTAGTTGCTCGTAGTAAACTTTCATGCCTATTTCGTTGTTGCACAAGAAACGTTACACTTCTCAAAAACTGTCGTTTTGCTGGAAAGCTGTTTTAACCAGGTCGGAGAAGTTTTATTTCGCGGCCAAAGATGAGATTTTTCTCTGTATACCGGTTAACATGTGAACGATCTTTATAACATGTTTTCAAGAAAAAACAGACTCTTTGCTCCACAAATATCTTCATATCATTAAAAATTCACTTATTTTTATCAGTAAACTGTGTTTAGATATATCACTTTCCTTGTACTCCTGTTATTTGTTGTTTTCTAGATTATTGTTCTGTCAGTAATTTCGAATGACTGTTATCACTTCTCAAGGTACTAGATGTTATCCTCTATCTATAGTCTTTAGGTTCCTTAATCTTCTGTTCAGTGTTTTTCCATTTTGACTATGTACTATTTTGCACCATCATCCATTGTATTTGTTATATTTTTTGTTTTATTTCTTCAACTTCGACAAAATTATGTCGGATGGTAAATTGTACCTCAGAAAGTATTCAAGAACTGCATTTTCATAGTCATTTTTTATCAAAAAAATTGATTTTGGATTAGTGAAAGATATTATTGTGCGGCATAAAGTGCTGCACAAGATGATTTCGATCGAGCGTCATGGGACTTGACTCAAAGTTTCATTGGAGAAATGAAGAATTGCAGGTTTCAATAGTAGATGTCTTCTCGCCTTCACCTCACAAGCGCAAACACTCGGCCGAGAAAACCATGCATTTTGTGCCAGGTACTTCACTCCTCCAGATGAGGTACGGTTTCGAGTTTAAAACGCAAAATTAAGATACCTTGACTTTGAAACATCTAAACGAATAGTAATAAATGATATGAAAAGTGAGAATGAAAAGTGCAGTTATTTTAGGCTCGAAAACATCAGTCAACCACTGTTCCACACACTTTGTACGCCTTGTTTAGACATTTCAACTTCGCGACGCAACGTCAACAAAATAATTTAATTTAGAGTTTTACGCAATTTAAATCGCGATGCCACTGGCAGAGTCACAAAGGCCATGCTTCTTACTCTCTATTTCCTAAATCGAACGCATTTCGATCGGTTTTTCTCGGTAAGTGCTTTTCGCAAGTGACATCAGGGTGAGCAGAGGTCGGTGATACTTTGCTGTTCTCTCGCAGATTACATGTTAACTGTCGTGACTCTTGAGACAGATCATCTCGTCCAGGGTTAGCGTGTAGCAGAGAATGTGTAATCACTCTAAAGCGCTTCCATGCATTTTTGCCACCCAAGAATGAAGCTGCAGAAAACGCACGAAACAGTGGCGTACTTTTGGAAACAGTTTCAATGCCGTTTAGTGTTATGGTGGCAGTTTGAAGCTGTTTAAAGTGTTTGTTACGTGTACTGATTTTACTAGCGGTAAAATTGTTTATTTAGTGTTGTGTAGTGTTGTGTTAAATAATATATTTCTACTCAGAGAATGCTTGTCATTGAGATTTATGGGTCCTTTTTCGTGTTGTAGTTATGAAATGAGCTGAAAAATGACAATGCCGAAGCCATCATTTTAAAATAAATTAATCATAGGCATTTTTATTCATTCTCATATTGACACTATTTATTCATCTAGTGTGACGAATTCCAAGAAAGGTAGCATATGTGACATTATTTAGAATAAATCATTATAATTTAAAAAAATATCAATTTACATAATTTACTGAACAGTAATTCCTGAATGCGTTGATATTAAAATAGTAACTGATGATGGACAGCAACTTTTAAGTAATACACTTACTGTATATATTGGTTTCTATTACTGCTTGGTTTCAGTTGGAATTAGGCGATATCATAATATATGTTTTTTAAAATAATTATCACGATAGTTGAGTGGGCTATTTTGCATAAAATTTTCTGTTTTTACACTTTCTCTTCTACCCGCTGTGGTCCAGAACTCTAATGCACTGTTTCTTAACCGGCCACCTCAGGATCGGCACCCAGATCTGATAATAATTTGGAAGGTTTCGCCGCGGTTCCAGAAATAAATTAAAATTAAAATGTACTGCTAAAATAGTTTTTATCAGTAAAAAGCCGGGTGCTATTTGACCTTCTTTTTGGTAGGTTGATAATATACCTTGTAAATAATTCCTGTTGTATTGAAAATCTTCACATATGCTACTAAAAGCTACGTACAGTAGCTTTTAGCTATTGTTACAGTATATTGCTATTGATTTTGCTATTGCTACAGTATACAACTTTTAGCTAAAGCTACATACAGTACGCAATTGCAGTACATGAATGTACAAATGGCATTCGGCAATTAAGTATCACATTTAGCACAATACAGTCCTGACTATACCTATAAAAGTAATCTCAAAAAGCAATCGGGGAGTTTCTTTTGTGTCTTTATAGATAGATATACAACGGGCGTCAGAATAAATGTTACAAACGTCTAGGGCATGTAGGGCAGTACAAAAGTAAACCATTTCGCCAATGAACATGGGTGAAATTTCATGAAACCTGACTTTAACTTGTGATATTACCTATGATTGTCAGGCAACTTCTTACGGATTGATATTTGGTATCTCACGTTCTGGTGCTTGCCTAGTTTCCAACTTCATTCACTTGCAACTTGGCTCGTACACGATTCAAATCAGGCGCACGTATCAAATGTAAAAATTTTTGTAATGAAATATATTGTTACAAGTTCACTGGCAAAAAGTGATACTTTTTATCCCTCTTCAATTCAATGTAGTAATATTTATTCCTATACATCTGGTGTGTCGCAACATGTGCGGGAGTCAATCATCTCAACCACATCGTGACAGGTTAAAAAGTGGTCAGTGAAAAGGGCTCTTTGGGTTCACGAAAATTTGTTCTTTCTTTTACTATACTTTTCGTTTTCATTAATATTCATCGTTGAACTATTTCACTAACTTCATCATTACCAAAGCTCGGATTCTGATGGTCCAAAAATTTTTTGAAAGTGGCCTATAAAATGACTTAAAAATAAGAGGGAAATGACCTAAAAATGTCTTAACATAAGGGGGAAATTACCTAATTAAAAATACAGAAAATGTGTATGAACTGTTTATTTATTAAATGAATTTTACAATTTTAAATTATATGTACTTATACACAATTAAATTTAATGTAAATTTTTTATTGTAAGAGGAAATGTAATTCTTAGCTCCGATTTTGCAACCGCCAGTTTTCAAAAGTCAAGGAAGTTATCGAAGATCCATGTAGTTTTGAGAGTTCGAATAACAAACTCCACTGCCGTAGTGAACTTCGTCATAAACTGATGATACAATAATAACTTTGTTTTAAAGTGTCATTACAAATTCATGAAACTAACACAAAATTAACAAATTAATAAAAAATTAATAAATAATTACAAAAATTTCATGAAAAAGAAAAAATGCGTTAAAATGAAAAAATATGACGCAAAGGTCCAAAAAATGACCCTAAATTGAAAATGGCAAAAATGACAAAAATGATCCAATAACTACTCGTATACATTTCTATCACTTATATGTCTTAATAAACATTGATTTACAAGTTAGCTACGTCTAGAATTATCCGAGCCCTGTTCATAACTCGCACGTGTCGCATTCGCCCGCCAAACGCCGACGCTCGCGTGCGCGTCTGCGCAGAGCTGCCGTCCAACGGGTGCGACGGAGCGCTCAAGTTCCGCTGCGGGGACAACTCGTCGTGCCTGGTGCGCGACCAGGTGTGCGACGTCAACGTCGACTGCCCCGGCGGCGACGACGAGGAGGACAGCTTGTGCGACGTGGACTTCCCGGGCACGGAGCCGCGCTGTTCCTTCGAGAAGGGCTGGTGTGGCTGGAACAACACGGTGCAGAAGCCCTTCGCCTGGACGCTGCACCGCGGCGCCTCCACCTCCAACATCACCGGCCCCACGTACGACCACACGTACGGCAACGCCTCCGGCACCTACCTCTACCTCAACATGTCGCAGTCGGTGATGTTCGGCGAGGAGGCCGTGCTGCAGAGCCCCATCTTCTACCCGCCGCCATCCGTCGTCGACAACAGCTCTTCGCCTTACTACCGCTCCTGCAAGGTGAGCCCGGCGATTGCAATTGAACGGCTCGCGTGATAGATTGGTTGATTGATTAGCGTTTCCGGGCACTTCAACTCCTAATTTCGTTAGTCCCTTAGGAGAAGTGTGTGTTTTTATCGCGGGATGGGCTGTGATCTTCCCCTGATGGATGGTCAGGTGCTGTGCCGAAATACACGAATTCTTTTCCTCTACCAAGTATCTCCCATCAACAGGGCACCGTCCGAGCCAGAACGAGCTCTAACTACCCGGCTGAACTCCTGTCATACGTGGTAGTATAGAGAATGTGTGTGTGTAATGGCTGAAGATAGGGCAAGGAAGTGGAAGAAAAGATCGCGCTCGGACGATGGCCCGTTTGTAGGAGTACTGCTTCGACACTTGCTCAGTGATGATCGGAGAAACCACGGTCACAATTGGATCGGTAGTTTTCCGTGGTTGTTCGATCAATATGAGTCGAATATGGAGCAGTTTCCCAGCAAAGGGTCTTTAACCTTACATATACACTTACTTGCACCACACTATCACGCATGTGTGGAGATCAATCTGGACCTTAGAACTTGTCGCGTCTGAGGCGGTAGCACGCTGGGGGAGATTCCTCCACCAAATCCACGTATAGGTCAGCACCAGGTTCACGCCATCTAGTGGGGAGGTACAACGCCAACCTCTCGGATAAAACCGGCTTAGGTGGCTCAATTGATACTGCAGCACTTCTGTCCGGGAGGTCATAACGTTCGATTCCCGATGGTGGCTGGATTTTTGGCACTAGCTAGATATCTAGGTAGAGTTCAGCTGCTGCATGGAGGAGAATTCTAGCGGCCGACTGCTCTAGTCGGTATTTTTCCGTTGTTTTTTGCTCAATACTATGCGAATGCCGAAACAGTACCCTAACAAACGGACCACGGATCGCGCGCGACCTCTTCTTCCCCTTACTTGTATTGCCCTCTCCCCTTGCATACACACCCTTACACTACATACACTAGACTACCACACACATCGTGAGACCGGTCGCGAGATTAGTGCCTGTCTCTGTTAGAGAAGTGCCCCGCTGCTGGCAGATATCCTGTTGGGGAAACCCCACTAGCAGTCATAAAAGATCGGCTTCAAGATCAAACCATCCTGTGTGGGAAGATTACCCCTCCTCCTGCGATACAAGACATTTATTACACTTAATGTCTTATCAGTTAACGCGCCCGAAAAACACTAATCAATCAAGCAATCAAAAACCGCAATAAAACCATTCGCTTTACTACGAGAACTAATAGCAGTTGACGAACCTGTGAATATCAATCAATGTAAGAGATTGGTGGGCGAGCGCGAGGGTGGTGTTGGTGTTGCAGATGCGCTTCTACTACCACCACTTCGGGCGGCACAGTGCGGCGCTGGACCTGCGCATAGTGGAGCTAGGGCCGCGTGCGCAGCGCGAGACGGAGCTGTGGAGCGCCTACGGCACGCGCCTCAACCATTGGTACCTCTTCATCGTCGAGCTGCCGCCTATCGCCCACCGGTGAGATCGCAGTGTCGCAGCTTCTTCTGTTCATTTATGTTATCGTTCGCCGAAGATTCGAACCGCGCCGCCCGGGGAGTCGAGGCTTCGCTCGCCCAGAGATGCCCTGACTCAACTCCCATGCTGACACACGGGAACTATCGCTGCGCTTAATTTACCTTAAAGAAGATGCTGAAAGTGGTGTCCTTGAGCTCGAATGTATTCTTGGGGCGTACGGAACATATTTACCCTTTGAAGTAAGTCTCTAGAAATTGCTGCGATTTTCTTCAAAAGAGAGCCGGAGCTCTTCCTCTGAATGCGAGCTTTCTGCATACTCCTGAATATTCACACCCATAAATTTATTAATAAACCTTTGCGGCAGTTACTGGCAGACATAAGTCGAACGAAGGGGTTGTAAAGAAATATTCTCTGCTTCAAAGAAAATTTCATTAGGCACAGCAACCATTCGTAACAAATTAAAGGTGAAGGGAAGGGGGTAATAAGGAAAAGAGACAAATTATACATTCACTTTAAAAAAATATTTTTTAATGTGATGTTTATTTCATGAGCATTTTTGGGAAGGATTTATAAGACAATGTTCGCTCCCGTGAAATGAAAACCATTTTCAATGGAAAATAAGCTAAAGATGTTCAATTACATCTCATCATGCCTTTCGTAAAATAATCTACTTACTGCCGTGACAACATGGATAACTATTATTTGAATAACTATGTTCCCCAACTGAACTTTAAAAAACGTGCACGGATAGCGAAGTTACATTTATATTCTGAACCAAGGGGCCATCTGTGCATTTCTTAATGAATCAGGGGAACGGAACGAAAAACCTGGTTGATATGGGGATTATTGACCCAGAATCTGAGGTACAATACTTGAGACGACTTTTTTTCATTTAACTTTTTGGACTCATCTCTTCTTAACACTGATCGTGGAGAACTCAAAATGATTCGTCTTAGAGCTTTAAAAACTGGTTTTCGACCCCGTAGTAGGATTCGAGTTTTGTTTCTTTGCTCTTTGTATTTTGTATGATTGTAATAGTCATATGGATTTTTTCATTTAATTATCCCAATTTGATTTTGTCTTTGGGATAATTGTATATTAAGCCGTACATGAGCAGTAACTAGCTAAATCCTTCTCATGATCCGATGTTTTCAAATTTCACAAAATAATATCTTATTCTAGCACACTTGTAATATCCTAGTTCTGATGACCAATTATTAATTTCGACGAAAGAGCTCTCTTAATGTAATTTTCACTAGGTAATAGTAATTATAATTAATATCCAATGTCAGAAACGTCAAGTCACAATATTGCTACTGTAAAAATGTATAATCTAGGAAGGTAGCGGGCTACACTTCATATTCATGAAAATATACTTATGAATATCATTGTTTGGGAGTGTGTTTCCTGTTGCCCAGCTGTAGCCAACGTGCAATGTGCTCTTGCGCTGCCGACAGGTACTTCTTCCGGTTTGAAGCCCGGCGCGGGATGGGCGGCTTAGGGGACCAGGGACTGGACGACATCTCCTTGAGTCCCGAGTGCTTCGGCAACGGCATCCCGAAAGAAGCCAAAGGCAGTTACGTTTACGGCTATTCCTACATTCGTAAGTCTCTCAAGTACTCCCCGCCCTCGTAACACTCCTCACCCCCACCTCATCGCATGTCAAGGGTGCGTGGATTACCGCATTCCCTCCATCATTCGTTCGTTGGCAGCTGTCTCTAAAGTATGAATATACGGCTCCGGCATTTCCTCATGCGATCTCCTTTGTTGAAAATGTAGTTACACCACAGAAATTAGGACAAGCAATACAATGTGTAATTCTTTAAAAAATCCTTTTTTAGAAATATTTCATTTCCCATTATTTTTGTGTATAATGGTGTAATATAATTGTGTATAATGTAAGTTTTAAAACCGAGCTCCCCATTTCCACCATGCCATGCCATTCCATGCCATGCCATGCCATGCCATGCCATCCCATCTCGTAGTTTGTCGTAGTAGTATTAGTTTAACCACAAATTCCCTCTTCGCAATATAGTCAGATTTCCAAATATTTTTATACAATAGAATCACCACTAACATTGCATAGTAAGCGATATATAGCAAAAACAACATATATAACATATATAGTATATTGTATATACAATATACTATACAAATATCAAATATATAATATATAATATATAATATATAATATATAATATATAATATATAATATATAATATATAATATATAATTATATAATATATAATATATAATATATATAAATAAATCTCAAATTTTTTTAAAATTCATCTCAATATACTACATCTAATTAAAATACAATTTAACCATCACAACACTACAATTCAATCAACACAATCCAAGTATAATGTGACTCAATTCAGTACCATCTATTCTCCTACCTATCTCATCATTATTTTGTTCTCGATCAGATCATTTTTAATTCCCTATCTTTCACCTTCCTTTTTCTCATTATCCATTTATCCTCCCCTTCCTCTCAATAACAATAACTTTACTCCCCTCCCTGATCCTCACAAGGCCTTTTTCAATTTATCATGTGTACTCTTATCTGGAGGATTATCCAGACCTCTTATCTCCGGCATCTTTCCAATACATGACTCCAATCTTCTCCAACCTTCCCCACATTTCCTGTATAACTTAACCTCACTCTTAAGTCAATATTTACTTGGCCTCATCTCATAGTATGTAGACGTCCCAGCTGCCATTTATTGCTACACTCTCTTCGCTACCCCTCGTACCTCGACTCTCGCGCTCATTGCCGCATTTTTGTCTGTTACAGGAAACTCAACCATGAAAGAGCCGCATCCCGACTTTATCAACAAGACTTGTGAGTAGCGTGTATATTTTACATCGAATTAGAGGATTTGATATATATGTTTTTGTTATTTTAAGTCTCATCAACAACTAAGTCATTAGGGACCAAAATTGCATTTAACGGTATGGTAATTGTGAAGATGACATGATATGGTGATGATAAGGTCGAACACAAATACAATCATGCCCGAGGCGGGACTCGAACCCGCGATCCTTCGGTTCGCGATCGCTACAGCACTACGGACTTAACAATCTCTACCAACCGGACCGGCTTATATTTGGTTTCAAAAAGAAAAAAGTGAATATTTGCCTTTTTCGAATGTAATTTCATCCGTGATTGTAATGTCTTGCTAAATATGTTCTGTCATTTGCAAACTATCATACAACAGGCCCAGTAACGGACAATGTGAGAATGTAGGGTTCTAAAGGTCTTAAAATAGCTCATTCATTCTCTTCTGTTTCCTATCATGAGTTTATTTTTACCTTTATTGTTGGCAGTTCATCCTACAAAATAAAACGGTCTGCGCCTGAAACTAAATTGGATTCTTTCACGAACAATGGTCTCCATTTGATTTTGGTTCTAACGTCATCCGTTTCTGCAACAATCTGATCGCTGTTCAGAAGCTTAATTACCCTGTCTTCTAACATTATGTTGCTCGAATTGTCCTGCGCCGGTAATGCTATAAAAAGAGACTATTAGATTTCATCACTTTCATTATGTGGTTTGAAGAATGATGAAAATTCATATTTTTTATGCGAGTGAGACAAAGGTGGTAGGTTAGGACCTAGGAACAATATGCATTCATTTTAATGACTCATTTGATGTTGGGAAGATACTGAGAAAGGAAGCAGGGATGAAGTAAATTGTTATAATTTGCACATGTTTAGAAAGGCTATCTAAGCTGCACCGCCTGTGCCGTCCATGGGTATTTTTGTACGAAATGTATTCCCAAAAGAAAACTTTTCGAAGCTAAATTTTTGATTACTGAGAAGCAACAATCAGAATTATTAGACTTGTATTTCGTTGGTATTAGGTAAACCATCTAATATAAATCATTAAAACCAGTGCGCTTTCAAAACGTGTTGTCTTATCGAAAATTCGAACTTGCATGTCTATGATGTAGATGGGTATTAGGTTAAACATGAGATTGCTTCGAAACAACTTTCCTTCCAATCTCCCTGATCGTTACCAAAAAACTCTCTAAAGGGGACTGTAGAGCATTAAATCGGGATCAGAGTATTTAGGTCTGTATTTGAATTAATAAAAAGGTAAACTACTAAAAATTCCTCTCTTGCCCTATGAATATTGAAACAGGAGTTGAGTGAGGTAGACGAGAACACGTAAAACCTCTCCTTTGCGGATTCTTGCTTTTATCTCGGAAACGGGACATTATAACGGAAAAGTTATTGTGTTCAAAATAAAATATAACACATTTCTTGCATATTCTTCGATTTCTTTTCTTCTTCGGACAGGTTTCTAGAAAATCATTCGCAGAAATCGCATGCCCCGAATATCGTAGTTAGTCAGCTACCACGACGAAGGTCGTAGTCTGACGACCGAAATGTTGACACGTGTGTTTAGGACGCGGCGTTTGTCGGACAACGTACTACTTACTGACTCCGGACGAAGATAACGAAATATTGGCATCAATTTACGCGAAACGACTGAAATGTTAGTTGGAACCTTTCATCCAAAGGGTCAACTACCATCTACTTTTATACTGACCTTAGTTTCTCTTGAATTTCACACACACATACGTGTGTGTATGTATGTATGTATGTGTGTGTTAAATATGTATGTATATATAAGTCGCGCTCGCCTTTCCCTAGACTACATGCTGACGTCATGCGGCATCATTGGCCGCCTGGGGCCTCAGCCGTCCAACTGCGAGCAGGCGCCGAACGAAGCGACGGATGCGCCGGCGGCGGCGGTGGCGGCGTCGGCGACGTCGTCTTCGGCGGCGTCGGCGGCGGCGGCAGAGGCGGCGGCGGAGATGGCTGCGGCGAAGGGCATGGCGGTGCGCGGGAGCGTGGTGGTGCTGGCAAAGGACCCCTTCAAGGGCGTGCAGCGTTGGACGGCGCCCGAGGGCGGCTACTACACGCTGCTGGCCAAGGGCGCGAGCGGGGGTTCCGGCGCGACGGGAGGCCCGCGCGCCAAGGGCGCGGCCGCCCGCCTCGTCGTCGAGCTGCGCAAGGGAGAGACGCTTTACGTGCTCGTGGGCCAGGAGGGCAGCGGGGCCTGCTCCAAGGTAAGACCCGTCGATCTTCGCAAGGGAGAGACGCTGTACGTGCTCGTGGGCCAGGAGGGCAGCGGGACCCCCTCCAAGGTATGTCAAAATATGTCAAAAATGGAAAAATCTGTCGCAAAAAGCTAAAAAAGCTGAAAAGCGTACAAAACTACCCCGAACAAATGCAGCAAACGCAGAGACTATTCTTTTTACAGCCAACTAAAAATATATTTTAAAAACCAAAAACAGGCTAAATATATTTGTTTGTATAAGTAAAATGTTGTCTTGCCTAAATACACAAATTGGATGGATAAGGGGACCCAGAAAAGTTGTTGTCCTCCTTGTGTCTTAGGATTCGCTGGCGGGGTCACAACGTTCGTTGCTATTTTTATTCAAAAGAATGGGGTAGGTACTTTGGTGCTAAAAAATGTGCTCCGATTGTAGATATTAAACTGGCGCCCATGACAAGAGATGAATTGTGCGATCATACAATTACTCGTCCCCTCTTTAAGAAAATATGAAAAAGATATTTTCAAACACTCTCCACTAATATAAAACTATTTTAATTTTTAGTCAAATATAATAACTGGCTTCCTTCATTAGCCGCCTGTATATGATATGATCATTTAATTGAAACATAATAGCCTAACGGAATAAAATCGACAACTGAATGAAACTTGTATTAACTCTTTCACCAACTATTTATTTAAATTTGCAACAAATTAATTACATCAAACATTGTTCTTTAATGATCTGAATACAACAAAATGAATCAGCAAAAAAATAAGTTTCTTCATTCGATATCCGGCGTACGACACGAATAAAAGTAGTGACAGTACTAAAAATGTAAGTTTAAAAGGGCTCATCTCCATCCTTCTTTGCCACCTGCCCTTCCACCTGCGTTGCACCGAGTGCAAGTGTTATGTGCTGCGCTGGCCTGGCTGAAAGGGCAAGCGTAGTTCGACGACCCGCTTCTGAAGAGGTTGCGCGTTGCGCATGCGTAGCATCGGAAGTGTACCAACGGGGGCCCCGGACACCAGGCGCCCAAGACCAGCCTCAACCAGCGGCTGGCGAATGAGCTGCCTCCCACACCGGGTGGCGGCGGAGGCGGAGGGGCCACGTACGTCTTCAAGGTAAGCCAGCGCTTTACAACCCTCCTCCTATGCTTTATCCTATGGGGGGGATGAAGTGAATGAAACAAAGGCGCCCCTCCACTCAATTGGGATGCCAAAAAAACCGATGTTTTAAAACATCGATATTTTCGAGCAGGAACATCGTTATTATAGCATTGATACTTTGCTTTCAGTGCTTTCAGTTCGATGTATTTGCTCAGAAACATCGATGTTTTCAAAAGAATTTCTAATGATATGCATAAAATGTCCTGCTACTGCTCACAGTCATTTGTCTATCACAGCTCTCGATTCCCAGACGGCAAGAAACCCTTTGCTATTCGCAACCTTTCTCTAGTGTTATTGCCTTTTTTATTATTTTTACATCGTAATATCGTTAAGCTGCTTTTTGAACTTTGAATTGAAAAATGAAGATGACAGTCACTTTTAAGACAGAATATACAATTAAACTAATATTGATGTGTTATGAATCATATAAGAACCATGACAATTTACTTCGATAAGTTTCATCACAGTTGAAACCACGATATTTTAAACATCGATGTTTTTGTCAGTGTTTTCATCGACATGGAACATCTTTTGTTGATGTATCAAATGATTAGATGTATTCATATTTTCTAAAATTTGCCGTACTACCACTGATGTACATAGTGCGGCGCCACTGTCGCATTTCCAGCTGCCGGCGCTCCGCAGTCACCGGTGTCTGTAGGCGATCTCGAATTTATCCACACGTTGCACGATACTCTTCTGCCTACCGGAACGTGCAGGATGTCTGAGAGAGAATAAAACTCTCGGGTTTTTTTCCTATAAAAGAAGAAAATTTTGAAATTTCGCCATAAATATCCACAAATCTAATACATGTCGTATGAAAATATTTTTACACGTCCTCTTCATGCCGACGACACATTGCAGTTACCGTGACTATGAAACCAAAACAATTAAGTGCAGCAATTATCCAAATCTTGGAATGAAGGTGGAAACTATTCATATTAAACCCACGTTGTCTCTCGAAGTGTGAGTCTCGAGTGAGGTAACGCAAGGAACTAAACATATTTGTTACTCGTACCAGTAGATTTCTTTTAACTTTCCACTTGTGAGCAAAATAATTAATCTTTATCATTGTTTCTTTTTTCATTTTTATAATTTAAAACAATAGTCAAATATTTCAGTTTGCGAGATCTCTTGCCCGCGAATTCTAAATATAAGAGTTACATTTGATAAATTAGAATAATATGATAAATTAAATTACATTTCTACAATTCCTGCGTAACCTGAACTTTTCATGTGGAGAAAATAAGCCTCGCCATTTTTTCTCTAATAACTTTCTGTTAAAATGTATACGCGAAAAGATAGGGTAGTGGTTTGAAAAAGCGCCCAACTGTTATCTGTTCACTACAAGAAACGTCTAGATGTAATCAAATACACGTGCGTTATAATGATTCTCATTGGTTTGCAGTATGTTCTTATAGAGAGAACTATTTGTATTTGTTTCATTGTCAGGATTCCGAACACAGCGGAGCTCAAACTGCAAACCAATGAGAATTATCCTAACACTTGTGTATTTGTTTACATCAGGATATTTCATACAATCATTGACTAATATATTTGGCGCGAGATATCTGTCCATTTGACTACCGATTAAACTACAGTGAGACACAGTAGATTGGAGACCTGCGCTTGCACAATAGCGCTATGCATAATACAGTAGTTCTGAAATTATCGGATAGTCTAAAGCAAACCATGTAAAGATTTTGTGCAGAAATTTGTTTTGGCTGCATTATTAATGTGATTTATTGGTTTCTTGAATGTTTTACACGACATGAGGATGTATTCTTTTGCTTAGGCTGTGTCGAAAATCTTGGAAGTCGATGTTTTTGAGACGGCATTTAGTGCAACCTCTTCCTGTGACGTCAGTCGGGTGCACAGTTTCCTCTCGCTAAGTCAATACGAAACCGAAGGACGTGGCTTTTAGTCGTCCATAAGGTGGGAGGGGTTACTCTCAGGTGTTTTCACCATGAAGTGGCATAGTTGTCTTCTTTCTCCATTGTAACATCATGCCACCTACAATTATTAATCGCTTAACATTCCCTTCTCATTATAACCTTGCCGTCATCCATAGGAATAAGCAGGGCAATTCCCATCTGTGATTTTTCGCTACCCAGTACGAAACGTCAGCCCAATTGGCACCGAGGGGGCTCGACATGAACCGCGAAAGCCTATGCAACCAAAACATATCTGTAATGACTAGATCTCGGATGTTTGGCAAAAGGACTTTTTGTTTTTGTCAGTATTTTATAACTTTTAACAATAGGAATCACATAATTGAACTTTGGTGTTATTTTAGTACATTTTCATTTGCCTTTTTTGCCTACTTAAGCTCCTGATGCCTATTTTGTGTCATTTCTGCCTTTTGCTCATTATTTTGCTTTTTTCCCCTCTTGGCACCGATCGCGATCGAGCTACAAGCCTGGACAACACGAAGGCTCGGTCGTGTTTTGTCTGAACTCCTGAGTTCCAGTGTACACTGTTCACTCAGTTGTCCGGGCGAGGAGGAAGCATAAATGTCCTCCGCCCCCCCCCCCAAAAAAAAAGGCGCGTGTAAAAATGGATGGGTGTGTTGTTTGTGTCGCAGCTGAACGACAACTGGACGGGGGCATTGCCGCTGGTGGTGGCGGCGGGCGGCGGCGGGCTGTGCGACGGCTGCCCGGACACCGGTCGGCAGCACGGCCGCGGCGCCTCCGCCCACGCCGAGGAGCACGCGCTCGGCGCCGTCTCGCTCGACCCGCCGCTCGGCGAAGGTGAGTGCTGGCCGCAGCAGGTCGTCCCTCTTTGACAGGTCCGCAGACAAATGAATGGGATGCAAGGCATAGTGATGAAGTCATTTGCCAATGAACGAACACACTGACAAATTGAGCGCATGGGCATAACCTGCAGTTATATTACCAGCAGTGGACAAGCAGTAGTTGTAAAAGCGGTACCTTCTCTCTCTGTAACAGAGTGAGCGAGTAAATATTTACAGTATTTATGTTTTTTAAAGATATTAGTCTCGTGAGTACGGGAAGGTAGCGCTGTTCATTCAAAGGTGGAGCGTAGATCCTGCTCCGACATGCACATCTGCGGGATTTTCCCCGCCAGGTGGGCTACCACGCAAGCCGGGACAAACGCGTAACTCCCGTCTGGTCTCTCGTGTGAGTGATAGTGTAGTGCACGTACGTCAATGTGGCAGCAAGGGGGGAGGATAGAACAAGGAACGTAAGGAATGATCGCGCGCGGTCTGTAGCCCGTTTGTAAGGGTACTGCTCCGGCATTCGCGTGGTACTGATAGGGGAAACAAGAGGAAACTATCGACCAATTCGAGGACCTCTCCGTCAACGATGATGAAATGGCAATGACGTTGCCGCGGGGCTTTTGCAGCCCGTTCTTATAAGCAAAAAAACTGTTTTTTCTGTTTTGGTTCGCCGGTAATTTTGACTCCAGTTATAGCAGTTTTTAATCCAGTAACCAGACGAAACAGCATTGGAGAAGAGATGTATCAAAGACCTTCATACTATGCGTATGGCGTTTTTTAAGTAATGTTAAATAGGAAGCCATTGTAAAGTAACAAATAATTGCATATTTTCCACGAAAACCTTCACCCGAATTTGGCAAGATATTTCAATACCGCGTACGTTATCCGTGTAAGTAGTCACAGGGCGGAAAGTTCGGCGCGCGCATGCAAGCGTGGATCCTGGACGAATTGGAGGCGGTTAGAGTCCGAGGAGAGCAACAGTCATTTTTATGTTTTTTTTTTTTTTTGAAAGACTGTGAGGCCCAAAAGTCGATCTAGCAGAGCGTAGAGTAGCAGAAGGTAGCACCGAACAGCCTAGGAGACCAGCCCATCAGCTGGTGACGGACTGTGTTCTGCCACATTATTTCAGGGTAAATCCTCAGATTAGGATGCCACCTGTTACTTTGATTCACGGATTCAATTCATTAGAGAGGAATCGACACCAAGAACTGAATCTTTCTTTATACATACTTGTAACGACAATAAAAGTTCATAAAATTAACCCAATATTTTTTAATTCTGTTTCAAAAACATAAGCTACTTATAAGGTTTATTATTGGGGGAGGCTACAGCCTTCCAAACTCCCCATTTTAATACTAAAAAACCAACTCGCCTATTTTTAAACGCTATTTAATATGTTAAAGATAGAAGTATTTTAATACAAAACATTGTACGTTTTCCGGCACACGATTGCATAACTTTCCCTTTTTGCGATGAACTTCGTAAGGTGAGAAAGTAAAAAAGAAAAATTAACTCGAGCATTCGTTGAGATTATATTTTTTAAAAATAATGTATAGAAAATACACACAATAATGCATTCACGTTAAGCAATTAGCTGACCTATATTTTGACCCCATTTAATCACATTCAAATTCCCGTCTCGGGTCAAGTTATAAATAAATTCAGTACTCAAAACATCCATCACAGTAAGCAATGCAAACCTATTAAAGGGTCTAAGATGAAAAAAGGTAATTCTACACCGCAAATATCAAGTAATCGTGTTCAACATTAATTATATTCAATTTTTCAGCAATAAAAATGTATAGATCTATATGATTTTCACCTGAAGTCATGTTATATTTGTCTATGCATAATTATTCACGAATACTCTGTCAGTAATTCAAGGGAACCACGCCACCGTAAATTTGTGATTCACGAGAAATAATTAACCATAAAAGGAACCAAAAGAACCCTGACACCCTAATCTAAGGGTAATATCTAAAAAAAAATACTTTTTGTCTTAAGGCGGGGATGGTCCCCTGGTTCTAACCGTCTCATTTCTGCAGGAAGCAGTACTTCAGGTCGAAACCCTCCCCCAATGTATTAGAGTTGAAGAAACTGTCGTACCTAGGAACACTTTTCATGTTTTAATTTTCACTCTCTTGTTTTAGTTGTAAAATTGTTGAAGTAAATATTTTTGAAATGCTACAATCTCAGAATATTTATGTGCGATAATAATATTTTTGAGAACAGTCTATAATGTTCTTTTAGAGACAACTTATTTGTGTACAATGTGTGCCAAGATGCATCGCACCGGTATACCTGGGGATACATAGTGATGTACCTTGGACAATGTAGGAAAAGCGAAAAAACACTACAAGTGAATAATTGTATGTTTTTTTCATTGAGAGAATATTTAATCTAGATTATAATAAATAGTGTGTAAAGGAAAAAATATTTTGTTGACCTTAATTACAACTAAACTCAGGTTGGTTTTGTCCTCTATGCCAACTTCATAGGATGTAACATCATTTTTTTAACGGACAAGTCTTCAAAATAGATTATACCTTGTAAAGAAATCATGTAAACCAAATGCTTGCTGCCGTTGAGAACAAACCGAACACAGATGGGTCAAGGAGCTTAACTTTTATGTCCTCTATGTCAACTTCATATGTTGCAGAACCTTCATCAATTTTGAATGAAAGAATCATTGTAAGTGAATTTTTGAAATTATTGCACAATAAAGTTTTCAGATTCGTCTTTTTCAGTAATTGAACTATTGCTGAACAACGAAATGACTTTACTATTTATAACAACAATCAAAACTGCATTATTAATTGTTTCTGCTGGTGATTTAGACCTTTTGCCCTTTTCTTTGCTTCGTAGCATGGCCACATTACATCCTGAAGCCAATTGAATTCAATTTAATACTACATTTATGTACCTAGGAACGTCTCTAGGTACATCAACAGACACTGTCCCTAGGTACTACAATCTGTAATCATGAACGAACATTGCTACTTTTAATTTTAGGTTGCCTGTAGTAAAGAAGTATACACCTTGAATTAACAACATTCTATGCTAGTAAGTGTAGGTTACCTTCAATTTTCGTTAAGTAATAGTAGTAATTACAAAATTGGAAAATTACAATGAAATTTTTACTTTTCACTCGTCAAATCAATTAAACTCTCATAAAATCACGGAAACAGCCCACACTACAAACTCGTTGACTTGAATAATCACAAATGGTAATAGCAATGCAGGGAAAATAACAATCCGAAATTTTTCTCAGACTTCTCGAAAACATGCTTTGTCCTTAGGTACGTCTGTCACTAGGTACGACAGTTTCCCTACTCTAGAAAGTGAAGCATACTTACACGACAATCAGACATGAAATTTCATCTTTTTTCAACACCGGCTTTCAAACGTACTGAAATTACTTCCCGTACTAGAACTGAAAGTGCAACTATTAAAAACCAAAATAAGTACCAACCCATAACGAAAAAAATTGTAGTATGTTCTCGTGATCGTCAATTCAATTTGTATATAACACAAAATATCGAAAATTGAGGTCTCGAATAAAGAATTGTACATCACTAGGCAAAAGTGACTTTCGATGACAGGACGGTATTCCTAGACTTGGCTTAATAGCCTAGTCTGAGAACTCCGTCATGAAAACTTTCTTGCCTTCTAATGGAAAATACTATTTGCGCTGCTGAGAGGTGCAGTGGTATAAGCCATTTACCTTTAATTTCACAGGAGACGGTATTTTACTTTTCATCTTATCAAAAATCACGTTGCCAGTAAATAAAGCCAATGTTTATATATTCTAGATATGATGAAAAAGTTTACTGAACAAGTACTAAATTATAGTTTTATGTCAAAAAATATCATATTTAAAATATGTGTGAAATTTTTTAAAAAAACCTTCGAGGTACGGAAAAAAATTAAATGGAAACTTATCACTTTTTCTCTTTCCTCCTCTTCTCTTTTTTCATCAATATCATCTGGTACTTCATCTTTTTATGCAATATCAACCTGCCGACATTCATTATTCAAGAGTATCAATCATTATCAAGAGTATTACAGACGTACTTTTTATCTAAGTACCTTCTACACGTCATATTCCTTGCTCGCCAGACTTACTTTTTAGCAGTCAGCAGTGAAATAAACTCTTACAATGACCTACGGCCCGTGACAACACTGACGTACACGGACTGACACCACTGTGCCGCGCAGCACATTCAGCGATTCTATTTCGCTCTCCGCGCAATGCTGTTGCTTAGCGGCATTAAAAAAGTTAGAATCATAACACTTTGTCTGAGGACGTATTGCACCTAGAACTTTTCAAATATGAAGTAAGTCAAAATCACGATTTCAGTATCTTATACCTCTCGGCAGCTCATTTACAATCTCGGGCAAGCTTTTAGGCGAAGTGCTTAAGTATCTACCTCATAGGACAGCCCATCTCTTAGCACTAATCTACACTGCTTGCATTTCTGTGCAATACTTTTCTTGAAGCTGGAAAGTGACTGTGACACTACTTATGATACAAACTCCGCCTCCCATAAAACAACTGGCCCATAACCCTTCTGCAGATTATCAGTAAACTCCACTGGGAGAAAATCCACTGGGATCTCGAGAAGAGAGGCGCAATTCCGTTTTCGTAAACAACGCTCCTCCGCGATGCAGGCGCTTCGCTTCGCCTTCTTCGCTTCTTCAACTTAAATCCTTTCATATACGCCGTCGACCTAGCATACGCAGTGAAAGACAGCCGGATTAACTTTGCCGTCAAAGGGTTTCAGTGCGCCGCAAATACACTATCTTCCAAATCTATCTTCCGAATTCGAGTACGTAAAACGGCCTCACGCTGAATGTACAGAAATTCCAGCCATAATTTTCACACACAAACTCAGACTTAACACGCATACTGTCGCGCCCGTCCGCCTAGCTGCTCACTCTCTTCCATGCCAAAACACTGGCAACTATCTGGGCGTTACTTTCGATCATAGGCTCACCTGGAAAGTTCACATCAAAGAGGCACGGAAGAAAACGACATGGTGCATCACTTCTGTGCTGCTACGGTTTTGAAGCCACTCTCTTAAGGGGAAAACATTATCATCTATCTCGCATGCGTAAGAAACGCAGGTGGAGTATGAGCCAAAGGGCCCGAAACGACCCCCGACCTCCTTACTCGTGCGGAAAACTATTTCGTTAGAGTTGCACTAAAACCACCTCTAGGTGACGCCTAGGCGAATGTACTACTTTCCCGAACACTGAAAAACTCATCTCCGATATACTCGCCACGGAAAGAATCAAATATTTTTCACCAACATTTACATCCATCCCATACACTCACCCAATATTTCTCAACATTAACATCTCTCCCAATATTTCCGTAAACATACAACACAAGACTAAGAAACTCCCTTCCGACATTAGATTCCTTGAAAACACACACAATCGCACACCCATTACACTTCACTCACGAGCTGCGCCACGGGCGAGGAACAGCTCCCCGCACTCGCTCAGCGGCTTCCGCTCCAGACCGCCGGACCAGACCGCCGCGGCATCTAGTGTGGAGACATTCCACACATACATGTTCGAATACAAGTTCATGTACGAATAAAAGTTCGAATGCATACAGTTTTATTCTTGCTTTATTATTTGCGTGGAGAATGATTTACATATGTAATTTTACTCATGTTCTATACAAAGCGTTTACTCTTCATTGTATGTATATTGTAAGTATGTAGTACGTAAATGTTGTATGAAGTATGCAGTAGGTTACATATGCGTGTTGTAAATTATTGGGGTTTGTGTGTACACTGTAAGGTGATATGGTTGTAATTTAATGTGTAATGTTATCATGATATGTGACTACTGCCAAAACAGTTTGACTCATCATGTTTTAGTATACCGCGAAGTTATAAATTTGCATTTGTGTATTGTATTTAGTGCATTGTTGAGTACTTGGCGTACCCCAACTAATTCAGAAAAGGTAGACAAATAAGGCGGCGTACAGGTAGATAGGTAGATTCAATTAGTAAATACCATACAAAAATAGAATTTTAAGAATATAACATTGTCAAAACAAAACCAAAATAAAAATGGATACGTAGGTAGAGATGAAGTAACGTCTACATAATGAGCTAAAAGATAGATAAAATTTATTAGATAGATTACAATCTAGATATATTCATAGGTAGATAGATTAAAATCTAGATACATTCAGAGGTACATATGAGATAAAAATAGAAATATATTAATGTAAACCACAGACAATAAAAATAAAAAAATTACGAAAAGAGAGAGACAGAGCAGCGCCATTTTATCACTTCTTGAAAACTAAATAGCAGCAAAGAGCAAAGTGCTACTAGAGAGCGATTTTTATAAGAAGGGGCTAAAGTGACAGTTCGCGAAACAAGTGAACATCACGTGTAATCCAGAAAAGTATCTTCCACCACGTCATCTGTTTTGTTATGCCCCTTGTATTGTTTGTTTACGGCTTCCGCGAAGACATCACTATACAGAAGTCTGAGTTTCGCTTAGGTAGAACGTATATATGCACGTTCGTGAGTTCGGGAAATATAGAAAATTTATTAACATATGTGGCAAAATGTCTTAACATTCTCTCATATTCAGTAAAAGAAAACTGCCACGAATGTAAATAGAAAGAAAAATTATTTTTCAGGGAACGTTCAAATACATTTTCTATGCGTTTCACAGTAAATACATTGTGAAGATCTCTTAGTGAAGATATTTCACCAATGTTATGCATTTCAATGCATTCCTTGATCTATCTAGAATGTCTATTTTCATCTATTTCTTGGATGAGTAATAGGCACATTCTCTCTCACCAATTGAAACATCAAAACAATGAATACTATCTTTTACTTGTATTCTTGTATACACAACTAAAGGCTTTACTGAATTTTCTTCAGAGTTGTTTCCTTTACAAGCATTTGCTTTTCAAACGGATATTTGAAATACTAATTCTCATTAGAACATATCTCTATGATGTTAAAGGAATAAATGCGATGCTCCCAAACACAGCTCGCTAGTCGTCACACAGCACAGAAGCCGGAAACACGTGAACTATCACAAGTACGCATCTCATATTCAAGACTCGATTTTAAAACAAACATAAGACTTATCACATAAAAACTAAATTCAATGTAATGTTTATGAAATAATATTTTTCACAGAAGAGTACATAGCTCTACGCTTCCTAATTTCAATTATTTCTCGTGGCGAACTATATTTTCGTCGGACGAGGACATCACAAAGAGAAGAGTCGAAGCCATTTACAAGTTAGCCAACAACAAACGAACGAATTCAGGAATGAGAGTCTAAATGGTTCAAGGACACAACGACCACAGAACCTTCAGTTGTGTTGCCAGCACTAGCTGTCAAATCATCCCATTCTAATAAAAATCGCTCTATATAATCGCGAAAACTATGCAAATATGAAAAGTGTCAGAACCAAATCTCACGGGCGCCCACAAATGAGACAATCGTAATAGCGCCCGCCAAAAAAACTTAAAAGAAAACGGACGAGCAGGCCGCAGACTAAACTACTCCACTCACTCCCCTCGGCAGCTCGTGGGTGGCAACGCGCGTGTGTTTGGCTGCGCAGGGTCGGGCGGCAGCGGCGGCGGGTGGCGGCGGCCCGCCGACCTGGCCGGCCCCAAGGACGTGGAGGGCCGCGCGCTGCTGTCTGGCGGCGCGGGCGGCATGCCCTGCAGCCGCGACCTCTCCGGCACCGGCGGCTTCGGCGGCGGCGGCAGCGGCTGCCGCGGGGGCGGCGGCGGCGGCGGCTTCGTAGGTCAGTGCGCGAGGCGGCGAGCACGCCTGCTCTGCGCGATCAAATGACGCATACCATCGTCATCAATTTATTACGTCTATTCGTTATTGAGAGTCGGGTTTGTCCAAATTATCAATATATTATAACTGAAATATACCGAGTTAAAAGATAAATATGTAAATAAATAAAATGCATTTCGTATATACAGGTTGAGCCGCTTACCGCGCTAAGCGATGAGAGTCAGGAGACAGTGAACAGGAAAGGGTCTCCATGTTAAGGCAGATGTCTCAGAATAAATGTTACTAACTTACGGCATGTAGAGGTGTCAAAAATATTCCCTTTTTACCAATAAATTTGCAACGAAAAATTTAATGTAATGTAGTTACATATGTGACATTTTCTTCTGAATTTTACGCACCTGCTCATTACAAAGGTTTGGCAGGCAACAATCTAACGCAAGGAAGGGAATTTATATGCATCTGAAGAACAGATATGCATGCGAGGGTGCCTAAAAATCAGGGATAAATGCCGTGTGTATGAAAGCATGTAATTCTTCTATATAACAATGTCCTAAACTCTGCTCATGGACAAGGTTCATAGACAAAACATTATCATTTTCAATCCCTCTACATGCCTCAGAAGTTTGAAACATTTATTTTGAGAAACTCTGTATTGTGATGTCGTGAGTGAGAGTGAGAAGGTAGGAGAATATGTCATGTATTCCTGTTTTAATAGGTTGATGACGAGGGCAAACCATCGAAAAGTGACTAATGGTAACTAATCAATTTATACTGACAACGATGACAGCTTTTATTTCATCTGAGTGAAGTGTACTAAATAGATCACGGAAAAACTGTTTATACATTTAGTAACCTACAATCAATGGTACTGCAAAAAAATCTGAATTCTGTGCAGGTTGCAAACACAGAGACAAAGACAGAGAGATGGAGAAATAAAATGACTGACACAGAGACGGACAGACGTCTACGGATATCAACGAGCAGACGACGGACAGACAAAGAGACGGACTGACAGAGGGACTGACAGACGGACTGACAGAGACAGACAGACGGACTGAGAGAGAGACAGACAGACGGACTGACAGAGAGACAGACCGACAGACAGAGAGACAGACAGACAGACTGGCACACATAGAGACAGACAGACTGACTGACACACATAGAGACAGACAGACTGACTGGCACACATAGAGACAGACAGACTGACTGACAGACAGACAGAGAGAGACAGACTGACTGGCACACATAGAGACAGACAGACTGACAGACAGACAGAGAGAGACAGACTGACTGACTGACACACAGAGAGACAGACAGACTGACTAACAGACAGAGAGACAGACAGACTGATTGGCAGACAGAGAGACAGACAGACTGACACACAGAGAGACAGACAGACAGACTGACTGACTGACGTACAGAGAGACAGACAGGCTGACTGACTGACACACAGAGAGACAGACAGACTGACTGACTGACTGACACACAGAGAGACAGACAGACTGACTGACTGACACACAGAGAGACAGACAGACTGACTGACACACAGAGAGACAGACAGACAGACTGACTGACTGACACACAGAGAGACAGACAGACTGACTGGCAGATAGAGAGACAGACAGATAGACTGACTGACTGACAGACAGAGAGACTGACTGACAGACAGAGAGACTGACTGACTGGTAGTCAGAGAGACAGGCAGACTGACTGACACACAGAGAGACAGACAGACTGACTGACTCACAGAGAGACAGACAGAGAGAGAGAGAGAGTGAGTTAGAGACAGAGACGGGAACAGAGAGATACGAAGAGAGAGAAAGTGCATGAGAGTCAGATAGAGACGGGAGCAGAGAAATACGAAGACAGAGAAAGTGAATGAGAGACAGATAGAGACGGGAGCAGAGAGATACGAAGATAGATAAAGTGAATGAGAGACAGATAGAGACAGGAGCAGAGAGTTACGAAGAGAGAGAGAGAGAGAGAGAGAGAGAGAGAGAGAGAGAGACTGAATGAGTGAGATACGGAGGGAGAATGAGGGAGGGGCGGGAGAGGGAGAGGAAGTGCAGGACGTCTGCTGGATTCCGCTAGTTACTAATAATACGAAAAGCAGGTAGCATTACTATTATCGGTAATAGGAATCGTCAATACGAGTTTTTCTGTCGAAAAATCAACACTTTCAAAATATATTTTTCTGTTGAAAAATAGCTACTTTCAATGTCAAAATGGAGGGACTAATTAAATTATTACTTTTCCTATAGAAGGAAGAAAAGTATTGGAATATCATCAAAAGTATTATCCCTATTTGTTTAATTAATGGTAGTCTGGCCAGTGTATGATCAGATGACTTTTGCACGATTTTTTAAAGTGTTTGTGTCATTTTCAAAATACGTTTCATTCAAATAACAGAAGAGGGTAGGTGAAGTTATCCCTGATTCAAAGATGTTGGAATAGAATTAAACAAGATTGAATGAGAGCGCTGCTGCAGCGGAATAATTCGAAGGCCTCTATTATAGTGCGTGCTTCGTAGACATTGTTGCGACTTTGATAGGAGCAAGTTAGTTGTTTAGAATGACGGTATGTCCCCTTTGGTGTATTATAAAACCGTATGGAAATATGCGTGATATTAAATGGTTAAGAGTTGTCCGGCATATATTAAGTGTAAGAAATTCAGAACGAAATATTAGGAGGGGAACATTTGTGTTATTCCTTAATCGGTAATGGGTGAATGTTAAAGGCCTTTCGTGTGAAAACTTGCATACCTGTATTGTTACAGAAAAATGGCATCTTGCACAGAAAATATGTATCTAATCATTAACCATAGATAGCTAATGTTTTGTTGTTTCATTTTGTTTACTTTTATTTCTATTACACCCACCCAAAAACAAAGATGAAAACGTGCGCTATTGTAGTGTCAGATTCGAAACCCGCGCCCAAAGCATCCACTACAATGGCGACCACGGCCCCTTCCAATTTATTCTGAAGTCTCCGTTCACGAAATTGTAGGGGATCGTCCAGGTCTTAGACTGTTACTTTGGGGGACTTCCAGAAAAGCGTCTCAGATATTCTGTGAACCGTCAATTTACAGAGAGCCCTGTAAGAGGAGAAGCAAATGCTACAAGGCAATTATAGAAAGGAGTCCCAACCTACTCTAACTCTAAGCAGATGGTTCATGCAGAAAGTAATTGTTCAAAGGGTACTAAAAACATTACTGGGTGCTGGATACACTATTTACGTATTGGTTGATTCATGGTAAATGTTACAAATGGCAATGGTATATTGATGTTCAAAGATAATACATTTTTGACAGTAAACTTGTGGTAGCGTATCTCGCATTACAGAGTTGGAAGTTTTGACATCGCGCCCCTGAAGAGTAGGCAACTCATCCTGCTCTGGGGCAGCACGATCTGTCCCTCTGTAGAACAAAAAAAAGGGTTTCATTGAGGTATTGTGGAGTTTTGGCTGCAAAAATTTCTCGAAATGGTGGCCATGTGTTTGATCTATATTTGATAATGTGATGCACCCTTTGATAAACCTATCAAATCTGAACGGCAGAGATTTAAAAAAATGAGTACATTAAAAGGCTGATCGATTTGCAACTATTTAAGAGTACCTTTAAAAGAAATTTTGGAGTCCATTTCTTGCAACCACCATTCTACACAGTTTCAGATGTTACTGTTTTAATATTTAAACACAGCCATATTTTTTTCCGACTCGGCAATATGAAGTTACCTGTTCTCGTTTATTATTTTAAATATTACGTGATAATTCAGAACTAAATAATTTGCACTTTTGAATCAAATGAACGTTCCTTATCTATCGACTTTGTTGTAATCATTTAAATATAATCTACAACCATGATAGTAAGTTTATTTCACAACATAGTAAACATGTTTACTAGCTGGTGAAGTTATTACAATTAGCAATTTATATAGGGAAGAAAAATGTTCATTCACGTCGTCAATTAAATTATATTTCTTCCATTCTTAAATTGATATAAATATCACGGGATGCCTTGCTTTCTTTCCCATTCTATTGTAAAAAGTAAAATGTTGAATAGTTACTAAGTTAATCACAAAATGTGATATTCTTACATATATAAAAAGTAATTTAACTTCTCTTTTTGTTACCTTGCGTGTCCATTCCATTCCGTTTTCTTAGTCCTAACGCTAGTATGACTCAGTGCTATCATACTACTTTCTCTTATATATTACTTATCTGACTCAACTGATATTGCATATCATTTTCGGAACATCCAGCTGCATATCCAGCTTTCATCATCTTTCACAATGCTTTTGGAGCTTCTCCATTAAACATATCCAGTATTTCATGGCACCAATTCACTCGCACCATGTTTTGCCAATTTGAGAGGTTATGAAGGATCCACAAGCTAGCTTCCACGCAATAAGTTTTTTCTTGCAGTAAATGTCTAACTGCTGCTGACCCAATACCTAAAGCTTTCTGAATATGAGCATATGTACATCGAGGGTCTTCCCTAAAATGTTTCACTTTCAAAACATTTACATCCGTTTCTATCGTTGTGGGCCTGACAGAACGAACTTCATTGTAGAGAGTACCTTTCCGTTTTAAACACGGCAAACAATCCATACGCAGTGTCTTGTGAAAGGCAACTATCTGCATACGCACGCTGTAATTTGTTAGAGACATTTTTTCATGTTTTAAAGCCGAAAACTAGTGAGGCTACAGAATGGCATGAAAGTTATCGAACTAGTAAATTTCCTATTCTCTTGCTTCGAAGCTTACTTTTTTGTTTCGCCCCATTCCCATCTTCTATCTCTCGGCTCATGAAAGAACAATCAGGGCTTCACGCGGTTCCTACTCCTCTTTGGGGATATCTACAGTGAAGAGCCCCTTCGATCCGTCCGAATATTGCATAGACCTATCCTGAACCTCTACTCATATACCATGAATTTGCTTAAGATATCTCTTAGTCCTACGTCGAGTCCTGTACC